CAAAATCAAAAGAATTTCTAAAAATTGCTCAAACCTGGTAAAGCGAAACGGGGAGACCAGCAAAAAGATGTGAAAAATCGAAAACCGGCTTTTGAGTACATTTTTCAGCTCTGACATGACCAACAAACGTCTCTTTCTCTCCACCAAGTCGAATATAGGAGGTCAATGATGTCCCAATTACGATGACTTTAGGATTAGACTCATCTGGAACTACATCATCTGGGATTCTAGACATTTCCGGGGTGCTGTACAGCCAATCTTGAACTATACATCCAGGCACTGGAAGTTGTATAGAATCAATTCTCTCCAAATGCTCCTCCGTTAATCCAAGTCTGCGAGCTACATTTCTGCGGAAACTTATTGGGTCCTTTGGGACAAATTGCTTTCCCTCCATGATCTTAGCCAAATTTTCTGTACATAAAATAGAATCAATAGTTTATTCTAGCAAATTCTTTTACAAAAATTAATTACTAACCATCAGTAAGTCCTCCCGGAAAGAATTTAGGGTTTTCTCGAAGTTTTCGTCGTTTCAATGATTCTGGAACACTAGGTTGAGGTAATGCCGCTCTTTTTACCCCAAATACCTTAACGTCTTGTAAAGACTTGTCTGAATTTTCTGTCGAAATTTCAGCCCTCACTCTTTTCGCTCCAGAAGTCGACACAACAGAAGATTGCTCAATTGTTTTTAAAATTGACCTCAGAGGTCCAGGAGAAATTAAAGATGAAACCTTTGGGACCACCGGAGTTTGAGATGGCGGACGTACCCCTGGGACCTTATGTTCTTTCACAAATCGACCCATCAGCTTCTCAAGTTTTGCAACTCGTATGGTGATCTTGTCCTTTCCACCCCCCAGCTGAAGCATCCAAACATCCTCTGTTAAGAAATCAATTTCAATTAGTATCTAGAATTTAAACTTAAATTGTATTAATTACCTTCTTGGAAAACCTTACAAGCTGAACTTTCCTCCAGCCAAATGTCACTCAATCCTTGCAATCTTAAAAGAATTGATGCCAAATCCCCTGAAGTCTTACGTTTTACACTCCCCAAAAACTCCGAAGCACTTAAATCTGCTTCCTTTGAGGCAACAGATGCCATCTCCCTTTGAGCAGCAGCAATCTTTTTGTGCTCCTCCAAGTTCGTCTTTTCTTCTTCGAGATCTTTTACAGAGGATCGCAACGCCTCCAATTTAGATCGATGTTTAGAAAGTTCTCTTTCAGATTCCACGATCTCAGATTCAAGCCCACGTTTAGCAATATTCGAGATACTACGCTTTTTAACCATTCCCGCAAGATCAAGCAAGCTCTCCCACTCTGAGGAATTTAGATCCCGAAGAACTCCTGATCTCCCTCGTAGATGTAAAGGAATCATTGATTCATTCACTTCACTCTGGAACGGTTCCATGACGACGTCCTCACTCTCTGAAAATCATTACAAACTCAAAATGTATCCTCTAGGATAATAAATTCACCGTTTATCAATTCGCGAACTCTTACCGTTAACACTTCGAGGAGAATTTGAGTCATCTATCATTAACGGTCCCTGAGACCCGGAATCATTGGAATTCAAATCTAAAAGAACCAAAATTTCAAAAGAACACGTCTTCAAGACAACAGAAAAAGTTCTCACCTTGACCATGGGATTCCATATCGAAGTTTCAATACCTCTCAAAGATACCAAAAACTGAACTGATTCTCTTTTCTCAAAACCGACGAACGACAAAGAAGCTCACACAATCAACTTGATGAATCTAAAAACCAAACGAAATCAATCTATATGTGGCCAAGCTATTCAACCAAAACCAAAAACGTGAACCCAACCTAATCAAAATCTATCACTCAAGTGTGAAACAACCAACAAGAAAGCATGCTAATCAAATGTCCCAAGTGTGGGAATCAAATCTATCGCGAACCAAAATTGTCAGTTCGAACTTCACCAACCTACGAGCCTGATCAGCTCTCAAAAGTTAAAAGTAATCTGACCAATCGGTCCTCAATTTCAAAACGTTCTCAAATACCTGAAATCAGTCAATCACTGCCAAACGAAACCTCCGCCGATCGTCAGCACCTCCAACTCGCAAGATGGACACGGGAAGACTGAAGACCCGTCAAAATGTCGGCACACCGAAGACGACCCCTGTTGGTGACGTCACGACCAAACAGCTGCTTCGAAGTCGACACCGATTTTCGCGAGAACACTTTTTATTGCCTTGTTCCTTGTCAATCGTTGCTTTCTTTTGAATATATCAACTTTATAATAGGGTGTTCTCACCCCGGTCGCAGCCCGACCGAATTTCCGAGTTTTATTCAAGCTTTCATACTCAATTCCATTCTCAAATAAGGTTCACTGTCTAAATCTTCATTTGTTGGGTTTATTCCTGACAAATGCTATCGGCATTTTAACCCAACCGTGGTGAACATCATCCTTCGTCCGATTTTATGGGAAATTAAAATTCAAGACTACCTTTTTCGTTTTTGTGTTTTTTTAAATCACTGTCGGCAGATGAAATGTGAATAACTTCCCAGAACTGCATATATAAAGGCGTGTCTCGTCACGGGTGTCATAGTTGATTATGAGGGCGACTGTTTCATTTTGTTTTTAATTTCGTGTCGTGTACTTGGTCAAGGTTCGACAAGCTGGCAGCAGAACACAATTGCCTACGCATCAAACTTCTAGGCGATTGTTACTATTGCGTTTCTGGACTGCCGGAGCCACACCCGAATCACGCACACTGCTGCGTGGAAATGGGACTTGACATGATTGAAGCGATTGGGTAAGCCAGTTCTTACTCGATCTTTTCGGGGAATTTTCCTTCTTTTTTTGTTTACATATTTACATCTACAGAAGACGCATTATTATGCAATGTACGAATTTTTAATCGAACTGAACGACTTTGATAAGGGTATTGGGTATTGCCACACGACCGTGGACTGCGTAATCGCGAAGCATTATTTACCTGTTGTGCGCGAAGAAGGAGTGAAATTGTTCACGAGAGTTTGTGAAATCCTGAGGCTGACTTCAGGAAAACATTGGTTTCCGAATTCAATTCATCGATGGTATCTTGAAAAGGAAATTCGAGACACATCTTCTGCCGGTGAATGCTGCATGGCTTTGTTTTCCTCATGAGCTGAAACTTCTACGAGTTGTATTCGGCCGGGAAATCTGGTGATACCCTTAAAGTTTAATATAAAAAAAAAAAAGAAATCCCAAAAACATCGAGAGAGAAAAGGTGCCTCTTCGAAGTGGGACTGAGGAAAGTTGACTTTTTTTTCTCTAAATTTTCGGTTGACCTCAGATTTTGGAATTTAACAAGCTTCAGATTCCTTCCCCTCATTTTTAGCTTGTCTTGCCTCGTTTAAAAATATTCAATTTCGGTTGTTGGAAAGTCGATGAATCAACTCTTTTGAGATGATCAGAGGACTCGCGATTAATCACAACTTTGTAGCATGAAGTTATGTTGATCCCTTGCGTTTCTTGGATGATTGTCTCCTTCTGATCGTCGGGAAGATTATTTACTATCAAATATTTGAGAGAAAATGTGCCGATCTTTGAAAAGTTCTAGCTTATTATCTAGTGAAAAGTTCTAGCTTATTATCTAGTGAAAAGTTCAAACTCAACCGTATCCAATTACGGTATATTTATAATGATGTAATCGTGTTTTCGGATGTGCTGAGGTAGTGCAATTTTCCGCCACCACGATCCTGTATCGCTTTGCCATCCTGCGAAAAGTTTAGAAAATGTGAAAAAGAAATTTTGCACTACCGTGGAAACTCACAATAACTGTTAAAATTAATGTTGTATTGATTGGATGCTTTAAAATCATTTGAAGGTGTCTGAAACTAGGACAATTCATGAAGTAACATCTCTGATCTCGCATGAGAAAGTACAAGTGTGAGGTGAATATCTTCTTAACAGATGGTTTTATTTTTCAAATGACCATATGTATTATGTTAATGTTGCCAAAACTTACTTTGAAACAGAATTGAATGCGATCTAATCTGAATGATTTTAAACCCTGCTGCCTTGAATTATACTCAGGATAAATGTCAATTTGTAAGTTGGTCTCTGTTTCGTTACAATCCATATGTAGAATTCTGAATTTTTTAGATGCAAATTTGCTGATGTGTTCCTTTAGACCGACTTTTTTGAAAAACGTTTCCATCACGATTCAGTCACTTGAAGAAAACGCGACGAAAAATGTATTTCCGAAATATTATAGCAAACTGGTGCGAGATGAATAATCATTGTTGAGACCGTCAGAGCAATTGCTGGATGCATTGACCTCGCCGGGCATTTGACCCAATCTAACCTCTTAACTGGGCTACTCTTTCGATCCTCGCCAAGTTTCAGCCGGAAGCTCTAATGACTCAACAGCACGTTTCGACACGACCATGGTTGTACAATATTCGCATAACTTTTTAATCATGGTTTTTTTGGCGACGGACAAACTCGCCTCAAGGGCACGCGATGATTTCTCACATCTACCGAAGGATTCCATTAGGTGTTGAAATATTAATTTTTATTCCCTCAAGTTTAGACAGAGCAATGTTCAGGACTTTTCAAACGATTGAGAATAACTGTTTCCTTTTGAGAAATTTTTTTTCGACGAAACATTTCTGCGACGGTTCTGCGCGTCCCGAGTAAAATAATGTACGTTGAAATGTTTCCTGCAATTACTGATGAATTATATTTTTTGTTCGGAAATGTAATAAGTTTTGAAAGCCGAAATAACCGAATCGAATTTTTGTAGAGACGTATTATTTTAAATATACCGTATCGGAAATATTTTTCCTTGGCCATCCTGTCACCAAAATCCTGCGCAGTTTTTCACAAGTTTTATTTCACAAGAAAACGTTGAAATATCGATCCAGTTTTTTTTTCGTTTTGATTGATTTTCTGAGACCAACATAAAATATAACCGAAATTTAATTGTTCTGAATTAAGGTTCAGGTGAATAATTCTAAACAAGGCTAAAATATGTCTTTGGAATCGGAAATGTTGTCTCCTGTTCAATCCAGCTGGATACGTTGTACGAGGGGTGGTTCATAAGTTACTACTGTATATGGAATTTCAACGATTCCCACAAAATATGTATTACATACTGTACTACATATGTATTACATATTGTATTATATGTATTACATTATGTATGTACTCGCATAGCCCCATCATTTGGCATCACTCATGTGCTGTTCAAGAAACTCTTCGCCGATTTCAATGTATTTTTGTTCATGCAATAAATCTAAGGATCAAACGGTGCAAAAATTGAGCTTCGTTAGTTGATTGAGCTGCTCTTCGACGGCGGAAATAAGGATGTCCCTGTCTCCAAAATCAATCCATTTACGGATTTTTTACTTTTGGGAACATCCAGAAGTCACAGGGTTCCAAATTCACCTATGAAACTCGATTTTTGGCAGTCTTCTGATCGTTGGATATATTACGTGAAAAAAATTAATTGAAGTCGGCAGAGAATATGTTGAACAGCACCAAAGTGCCAAATCATGGGGTTACACGGTAAAAAAAATTGGAATGGTGGAAACTCCGTTGGGTCCATTTCAAAAAGTGCCATAACTTATAAACCAACCCTCGTATTTATCATGACTTGCATTGTAGATGTTAAAATTGAAAAAAAAAAAAAAACAAAAAAAAAAGGCGGTGCTTATCGCGTGGTTAGTTGTGCCAAAAGGAGCATGACTTTATTTTTTCTTTTTGGCTCACCCCCAAAGCCGCTAATGGCAGGGATGCGAGCAGCGATCATTTCTAGCCGTCGGGGAAGAAGGAAATAATACCCCCTTCAGTTGCCAGGTAATTTGATTCCAGCTCCTCGCGGTGGAGCCCAAGTTCGGCGTAATGGAGCGTGTAGCAATTTCCTGAAACTTCTACTGGCCCAACTTCAAAGGCCGAAGGCTTTCGCCTATATACGTGTCTACGAGAAAAAAAAATCAGAATAAAAGAAAACTATCGAGAGTTGACTGAATATGGTTCTGCCTGCCTAGGTATTATTTTTAGCAGCACCCTGGATAATGCTGGTTGGCGAACGACTTGTCTGACATCTCGTGGAATTTCGATGAGAATGTATACTTCGTACACACGTAGTGTGATAATTCGCGGTCGTTTTTGCGCAAAGCTTCGACGTTCTTCGATTATTGGGGTACCTTGAGGTTTCTTTTAAATCCATGTAGAAACGTTTGCCAATAGCTAAAGAACATATATTTCATTTTTGGAATACTGTACAGTATTCATCTTTCGAGCTATAGTATACTGCATCCAACAAAATCCATGCGCTGCTTTCAAAAGACACTGAAAAGAGAACGTGAATGAATTATCCCGGTAATTTAATTTTTATATCGTTTTCTAGCGGCTGTGTCGTGTTAAATATAGCTCCAAACATGTCTGATTTTGCAATGCTGTATATATTACAATAGTGGATTTATTTTTTCATCGTCGACAAAATTGTCTTCCACCTTGAAGCTTGGCTTGATTTTTTTTTTCGAATACTGTAAAAGGCTTGTTGCTTTTTTTTTTGTGACCAGTTCCTGGTGTCTGGTGGCGTTTGCTTATAAATCGTTCTGCATTCAGTTGCGACTTGGAAACAATCAAGAATATTCGAGCATATTTTAAGACACAGAAATAATCGGATTGTCTCTATATTGAATTACTGTATCTCGTGCTCCAGATGAATAAAGTAATAAGGCGGTGAATGCAAAGTTATTTAAACGTAACCCTTGCTAAATTGTAAAGCCCTTATTTTCCACATGCAGAATTTATGCCTTTCGTGCAGAGCCGTCATAAGGTCAAGAAGTCATTTTAGAGGCAATGCTACTATAATTTGTCATTGTATTAATGTTCATTCATTAATGTAGTTGTTTTCCTTTCTAATACTGTAAAGTATTTTAAAATGCGCTTAAAGATTTTTTCTGATAGGAAAGTATCTGTTGTAATTTCCAGCAGCAATAATAATAATCCCAATGTATACTGTACGTATATACCTAAAAATATTTCACTCGAAAGATTGCGTTTTAATTGTCTGCAGTATTTGTTGTCTGTCATATGGTAATTGCAAATTGGTAAATTGGGACCTATGAAATGTAATATTCTAAAAAAAATTTGCGATGCCGAAGCTACAGAGAAAATTTTTCCGAAATATTTTTCGTTGCTTTTTATTGTTTGAGCATCTGTTGGAATCCTTGGAAAATAAGTAATCACTCCAAATCGGATATAGAATAATATCGAAATAATGAGGTCAACATAGGTACCTCAGAGAACACAGAAGGACAAAACAACCTCGAAGGAAGGAAATAAACCAGAAGTCCTCGAACTCCGTTGTCGGTTCACTCCTGCCGGGTCATGTCAGGTTTTCTCGACACGAATGCGTGTCGGAGGAGGTTTTAGTGGCAGGGCGGAGTGCATAAAGGCCTCCTGGTGAAAAATAGAACCCTTGAAATATTCATATTTTCACACCAGTATTTTTTTTAATGCGTGGAAAACCGGGGGATGACCGCGGGGTTTGACATTTTCAGACGTTGATTGTCGATTTTGGAGAATATTCGCGCGTGATTCGCATGAAAATTCCCCATCAATGGTAATATGATAAATTCAGTTATTATGAATAATAGAGAATGATTGTCTTGGCGTTTGAAGGACTTCATCTTTCAATTCCGAGGTCGAAAAGAAGAAGAAAAAAATCAACACCAATGTACAGTACTCGAACATGCCGACATTCATGCCAACTTTTTGGAATGCTTTCTCTAATCGACTTTCGTGGGATTCGTGACACTTCTTTCGTATCAAACTTCTGCATGAAGGAAAATTCAAAAATAGCTTCAGGAATTTGAAAATGAATCGAAACGGTCATCGAGGAAAGTTGGTCGATCGGAATTTTGTTCATATCGTTCCAAAAAATACAGGTGTGTCGACGAACACTTTGCTCAACGTAAAAACGACTATTAAATTGAGTTCCAAAATAATAACTTATTCCTACTTTTTGACCATTTAAAGGTTGGTTCGGGAAGTCACTGGCGTCAATGTGAACATGCGAGTTGGAATTCACAGTGGACGAGTTCATTGCGGAGTTTTAGGCCTTCGAAAATGGCAGTTCGACGTTTGGTCCAACGACGTGACACTCGCGAATCACATGGAATCTGGAGGAATTCCGGGGTGAGTTGCAAAATTTCTGCACAGAAACTTGATTCTTCTGAAGCAATATTTCGTGAAAAAATGTTTCAAGTGAATTTTAAAATTAGTTATTCAAAATTATTTGCGGGAAAAAATAACATCTGTCCGGCAAGAAATACTTTTCTTAAGTCTCTCTTGAAGACTCTCCAATATTAAACATCTCATCAAGTCCCTAGATAATGTTCTCATGATAATTTTATTCATTCTTTATGTATTGTATTTTACGACGCTATATTCCAAGAAAAATGATAAAATCATGAAAGAATCTCATGTTTTCCTCTTTTGGCGTCATCGAAGGATCATATTTTTCATCTTAAGATGACGTCCACTTTCTGAATCTTTGAAGCTGATTTCTATTTTTTTTCCAAATTTACAGAAGGATTCACATTACAAAAGAAACGTACCAGTACTTGGGGCACGATTATCGAGTGGAAGAAGGGAATGGTGCTTCGAGGAACTCGTATTTACGGGACCACAACATTCAGACATTCCTGATTGTCAATGACCAAGAATTTCGAGACGTATGTATCAATCTAAATCTCCATGTAATAAGGGCTTCAAATCGTTCAAATCTAAAATTTTCAGCGCGCAATCAAGTGCCACATACATCACGTCTAACCATCACTATAAATCCTATCAATCATTGAAATTTTGTGCAGACCATCTTTTTAATCAATTTTATTTCGAACTATCAGCGTCCGGATATACTGCACTGTATATCTGATTTTTTAAAGTTTATTTCGAGCGTTTCTGATCACAAATAAATGTATTGCATGTGAGTTTGAAGGTGGACTCTCTCTACAACGAAACTGAAGTGGGCCAAACAAAAAAAAAATGTTGTCGTAAAGAAAATTCCGGTGTAGGAAACACGTATAACATTATGGGTAAAGAACCCCGTGGGACCGGAAAAAACATTCGTTTTACAGAGAAATTCGTTGTAAATGGGATCATTGTACATGTAGAGAGACAGTTCACCCACCATAGGGTTCAAATAGCTAAGAATCATGTTGAAGTCTGAAAGAGTGAATTTAATTTTTTTTTCTTTTTTGAATGATTTGCAGCATCACGCAAGAAAAACTGCAGCTTTGGCAGTAAATGGCAACTTTAGCAAGGAAGGGAAAATCCGACGCCAGAGAATGCAAGGGCACATTCACAGCAGGTGAAATATTCGAAATCTGCGATATATTTTGCTTGCAATTTTTCCATGCACAATGCCTTACACACTTTACATTCCGATCAGCAGATTAATCTTCAACTCAATTTCTGAATAATCCGAGTGCCGGAAATTAGTGTTTGAACTGTTGTGCCGTGAATTGGAACTGGTGGAGTGCAATTGTTTATTTGAATTTTTTTTTGAGTGAAAATAGGTCGTAAGCAGTCATGTTTCGACTTTTAAATTCATGATGTCATCATATAACATTAAGCGCACCAAGATTTCGTTTGAGCCAATTCCCTTAAAAAAAAATGCGTCTTATGTTTGAGTATAGAGGCATTACAGTGAGACTCCCACATGCGGACACCTCGACCTGCGGACAATTCGACATAGGGACACTTATTTTCCGAGAAAAATTTTGAAAAGGCCCAACATGAGGACACTGACTCGACATAGGGACATTTTGTGATAAAATTGCAAATTCATTTCAGGCCAAATTACAAGAAACAGATATTCCCAACCCTAAAATTGATGCAATAAAAGTTCTTGGGCATTTCTCTCACCAATTTTGATTTTATCATTTTTCTTGGAATATAGCGTCGTAAAATACAATACATAAAGAATGAATAAAATTATCATGAGAACATTATCTAGGGACTTCTACTTTTTTTCACTTGAATGTTATTTTTGTAGATAGGCCAACATTTCAATGTACATTACAGAGATACACTATTCAATGCTACAAATGTTCTTATCGAGTTGAAAATGTATTCACCAATTCAAATTCAAGTGGCAAACAATTTTTTTCAGGGAATTCTGAAGAATATTTCTCCCATAAAACTCCAATTAAAAATTATATAATGCAAGTCTGTGGGGAAAACAAGACTCAACTTAGGGACACTCTTTATGCACGGATTGTGTCCGCATCTTGGGCCTCACTTACGATTTTGGGATGTTATCTTCGACTGACGTGATGTGTTCACACAGGCTGGGTTATGGGGACGAAGAGAATGATTTCTCGAAAAGGCCTGAAGCCGAGGTAAACGAGTACCTGTCGAGAGCCATCGATGCCAGAAGCATTGACCAGCTCCGGACGCAACATTGCAAACCACTGCTGCTGATGTTCAAAAATCATAAGGTCGAGGCAAAGGTGAGAATGCATGAATCATTAAAAAAGAAGCATAACATTCGCGTCATGTCGATGAGCCCGTTCTCAAATATTTGAAATGATTGATTGAGATCCAAGTTCATCATCAGTACCCTGCGGTCCGCTGGTAGGAAATTACTGTATAGAGTAAATTCGATCATTCAGGTACCGAATTTATTCGAGAGGAAACAAAGTGACCTGAATGACTATAATTATTCCCTGTTTATTTCCCTTCGATTGAATAATTATCCGTGATAATATTGCGGAGGCTCATGCACATCAAAATTTACAAGAATGTCAGTCAAACAATGTCGGGTCATTCATGAATGTTTCACTTTTCAAATGATTGTTGTGACTCTGTAATTATTCCTGATATTCGAACATCCGGGCAAACAAACCCGACCATTAACCAAAATAATCCGAAGTTTACATTTGTTGATAAAAATTTTTTAAACCATATATTCAGTGGATAAAACCTTTACCTCTTTTCAGTACACCGAAGAACGGGACCCGATGGTTGCCGCGTACTTTATATCCTCGTTGGTGGCATTTACAATTATAGCTTTAGTACAAGGGATCCTCCAAGATTGGTGAGTAATTAATTTTTATTCTTATACTGTATTCGAATGTGAAACACTCGCCTCTCTGTGAGAGGCGAAAGTTCGGCGTTTTACACACTTGACAATATATAGATGTCACGAGTTTTTTCTCAAGTGCTCGGACTTATTGCAAAGAAATCTGTGAAACCTGTCAAATAATGTATTTCAAACGCGTTTTCTTGCGATAAATCTTGACGCGTTATCTTTTTGACATCCCCCTTATTTATTCGACTTGGTTCCAGTGGAACAATTTCTTGCATTGAAACTCGTCGCATAAGCAAAACAGTTTCCTTGAAGCTGAAAATAAACTTTACCACTCTCCGGGTTTACTGGACTCATGGCATTCAAGTCGTCAGTTGCAAATTTTTGCTATTTGCTGTAGCAAGGGGCTCAACTTTCATTAACTCTGCATACTCAATTTTTTTTTTTCATTCTGAACAGCTTTGGGCTTATTGCTACTAAAATTTTTCCAAGTTTTCTCTTTCGTCCCAATTTGCATCCTCGCACATTCTTATGCGTTCTTTGTTCCTGACGGAGAATTTCGTTATTCTTAATTTATATTTGTAAAAAATAGCACAAAATTCGGTCTTTCACACGGGGACATTCTTCAGTAACAAATTTATTTCAACAGTTATTCTTTTAAGATGACATCCCTGTAGTATTTCTTTTCATACCTTTTCTTCCTTTGTCACTACAAATACGTTCCTCCTGTTCTTATATTTGTTAACTTGATGAAAGCGGTTTTTCAAATTCTCTAGAAGGTTATCATCTATCGTATGATCATTTCTTGATGAGCTAAATGGCAATTATGAAACATAGAAAGGTTTAGGCAGAAATTCTGCATTGTGATCCTGAGTCGAAGTTTAGAACTGTTGAGAAGTTTCTTCCACACGGGCGGTTAACATTTATTTTCTTATACATAACCCATTAATTTTATCTCGTTTTATTCATTTTTTCCTAAAGCATACCTGTTCATTGAATGAGGAAACCTGCAAATTACTTGCATATTTCCCTGAACCGGGAGCAATTTATATTTGCCTCTTCCTTCCGAATTGTCCGTCTCAGAAAAATGATTACGACTGAAGACGTTTCGTTTAGCATCAATCATTCGGGTAATGCAATGGAAAATGTGATGTTCTCTTCTAAGTTATTAACGATTGGATTGCAAAGTTTGTCTTTAGTTAATTAATTTGTTATCCTTCTGCCTTCCTGTCAGAGTCCTGTTGAATCGTTGGAGATTATTTCCGATGCAATATTTGATCCTTTCCGAACCACGTTCAAATTTCGACGACGCACGTAAGTCAAAAACTTGGAATGCAGGGGTATGTGCAAGAGATGAAAGTGCACGACCATCTCTACGAGGAAATGAGGTTTACCTGCCACATCTGCATGTTTTATGGATTTGCGAGTTGAAGTGCTGAAAGTCCAGTCGAATATTTCAAATGATGTAAACATCTACAGTATTATTCAGCAGTGAAAATTTCCCAGCAGATCTGACATAAATGTGCCAAAAAAGAAAGCTTTGCGAACTCGAAAATTCTTTTCGTTTGTGACGTTGATAGCAAAAATTGTCCTCAATTGTCGATTCGTGAGCAAGAGGGTTTCTTCAAGTCGGGGCTGCGCAGTTTGAAGTTAAATTAAGTATTTATATGTAGAGAGTGGGCAGAGACTTGCTGGAACCATTCCTGGTGTGCAAGTTTTCTGAAACTTTCTTGACAATTTTCGGCCACGCATGGGAAAAAGGGTAGAAAATTCGGTTCTTTCTCAATTAAAAATGCAAGAACTATGCTTCCCATTTCCTCCAGCACTGGAGTTCTTTGCCTCCGTCAATTGCATAAGATTTCTGTAATACTGTTGAACCTCCATAACTCAAACCTCTCGAAGTTGAATGCCTCCCTATGTCGTATTTTTCCTCAAATCCCAGTCTGAATTCCCTTGGAAATTATGCATTACAAACCTCCCCAACTCGAAATATCTTTAACTGAAATACAGTTGCTGGTCCCTTGTAGTTTGACTTAGAAAGGTTTGACTCGACTCTAATATAGTGTTCCCCAACCTTTTTGGGCCCACAGACTGGCAAAGTTTCATAACATTTTTGTAGACACAAAAAAGTTATCTTTGAATGACTCTATGGCAGGTATTAACCTTGGACGGCAGAGGGTTCTTTGACTTCTTTCCCATTGTGGGACGGAGCAGGATTAATTTTTTTTATCCTCCTGCATTTTCAGTTTTTTGAACAGGAAAACCTTTCCAGGTGGGCTGAGGAGAAGTTGGGATCAATCCGAGAAAAGCCGGTTGCTTGACTGAGAATTTTTTTTCTTGCAAAAATTTTCTGTGGCCAGGAAAAAAATCATGATTTATCCCGACTTAATTTTGCCTTCTACCCCACAGGCGTCATTTTTTCTCCACCTCTCTGAGGCGCATCAACATTTTGCAAAAATAGTCTGACCTTGCTGCCTAAGGATCAAATTATGTTTCTTATTTTTTTTGGCAAAAATTGAGTTCAGATCAGAACCAACAAAGCTGTTTTAATGGAAGGTCTTCAAAAATTAGAAAGGTGGGCGTGCAGAAAGGTTCTCAGAATGAAAAATTAAAGTAATTTATTTCTGCAGGTGAAAATGTATTCTAAGCATTATAAGGAGAAACCCCAACTTTTATTTTACATTGGATAATTTCAACTGACATTGTCTTTCTGAAATTCCAGATAAAGATAACTGACTTCATTGCTAAACTTTTGATAAATTTATGATGCTGAAGAAAATTTCCTACAGACCAAAAAATAAATAAAATTGGAAACTGATGCTGGTCCGCGGACCATTGGTTTGGCGAACACTGCTGATCCATGCTTCAGCTTCTCTATATGACGTTCATATATTGGCGATATATGAGAACACTGCAGAATCCAAATCGTCGTTTCTAAAATATACCCATACGTGCTTCCCCGTGATGTGAATGAATGAATGAATCAATGCCTGAACGAGGTATTGTAGTGTTTTCTCCGTTTTCTGTGTGTATCCCTGCAGGTCGCTTCCGTTGATTAGTGTGCTCCTGGGAGGCGGGATAATGACGCTGGTGTCTGCGCTGTTGGTGCTGGGCGAGCTTATTCCGGTGAGTGAGAGAGAGAGAGAAGCCTGGTTATTCATGCCGACGAGAACTCATCGGCGTGTCTTGTTCGTCGGGGCTTTCGGATTTTCCTCATTCCCAACCCCCCCCCCCCCCCTTTTTGTGGGGTCGGGCTTCCGTTGGCGAACATGACCCGTCCCCCGTAAATCGCATTCCGGCCTGAAATATTCCCGCGGTTCGCAATAAAGTTGGTCATTAACGTGGAAACTTAATCACTTACGGTTCCGGAGAAATGAAGCAGTGTTATACATTACTGTAAGTTACATGAACGTAATCATCTCTCGTATATATGCCTTGCTGATTAGGAATCACCTCACCGTATTCATTCCAATATCACGCGCGATTTTTACCGCAAAAATTCGCATACTAAATAAATAAATATCTTAATTTTATTCATCTTAATTTTTGATGAGGAGTGCATGATTCCCTCGGATGAATGTAAATCTTCGAATGCGATTTTTGTCGCAAGTTCCATCGAAGGAATATTCACCGTCATTTTCGATTCAATGACAAAAGAATTATTTTCATGAATTATGTTTAATCGCGTAAGAGGAAATCCCAGATTTACAGCACTGTATTAAGTGGTTGCTGCTGATACTGAACTGTACGTACTTGAAGCATGGGTAAATTCGACAGATTTTCCTGTTTTGAAACTTGAAATATAATTCTGAAGATTGAAATGAATACGATGTTTCGAAGTGTCTTAACTCCGTGGGAATTATTGATTTCTCCTTTGAGACTAAAAATTGACGCACAAACTTCCGAGATGAAATTAAGCCATCACGGAAATCGTGGGACTGCATTATTTATCCCGTAATCAAATGCATTTCGTGTTTTCATTACGTGACCGCGTTAACTCAAATACTCTCTCACGAAGTATACGCACATGTTTCGCGATTCCCTCTTGAGGATGTCTTGCGTGAATAATCGCAGTCGCACTTCTCGGGATGAATTAAGCCAATATCTCTCTCGAGCCCGTTGCTGCACCGGGGAACTTCATTAACACCACGTGTTGTAATTTTCTCCGGAACACAACAACGTAAATGAATTTCCTTTGTCTGGATGTTGATGACCATCTATTTCATGGTACTGTATATAGAAATGCTCTCGTGCTGAGTATCACAGTGCTGCGTGAGATAGACGTAATTGTTCAGGTTTGAACGTGAATATTAAATTTCTGCAGGGGCATTTCTCAAACTTTCTTTTTTTGGCACACCGAGTTATTTTAAAAAATTAATTACTCTGCCATGACGTGGTCTTGGCAATGTGTAGCCGGTCTGAAAATTCATTTTGAGAGTGCCTTCGATAAGACGCATGTACAGTTCTTATACTGTTGCAGAATCACAAGATCACGCAACAATGTTTGAGAAAGTTGAAAGCTTTCTGAAATGAAAAGGACACATAAAGATTGATCAAAGAAGAAAATAGAAAATAAAACTCAGAAATCAGCTAGGTTTACGACCTGTCCTAAAAACGTATTTTATGCTGAGAAATATGCAGACGTGTGTTCACAAATTAACGTAAAAATTTGAATGAAGAATGTCTACTTTTTAAGTATTTTCTAATCAACCATTTAATCGTTTTAAAAGACGAATCACACAATTTCACTGAACGTAGTACAAGATTACGGCTTCATGGATGCATTAAAATTTTTATTTTTATTTTATTAGTATGGTATATCTTATTTATTTTTTTTTCGATCGAATACGTCGAGGAAAAGTCCCCTTCGTGTAGTTTAAATTTGTAGAAGTTTTCGGAATTCGAATAGTTTTTGATGAACTGCAGACGTGGTGATTAATCGGATTTGGATGTGAGCATTTATTTTTAAGTACTGTAATTCAAATATATAAGCATACGAAGAATGGAGGTTTCCTTTATTTTATGCTTGCGATCTCGCATTTGCTCATCGATTCAAAAAGTCTGGGACGTCAAGAATTTTACTTTGATGCAAATTGACAAAACTTTTGAATAATCCCGCGTATATATAAGCGGGGTCGAGGATTTCATTCAGTGGCTTTTGATTGACGGAATTGCAAAACCCTGGATTTCGAAGGGATGCAGAGGACTCACTTTTACACTTGACATTTATATTCTGCAGGCAATGCCGGCTCCACTTGCAAAAATTTCTTCCGTGATCTGCACGAATCGAACTCTTTCCGCCATACTCGCTGCGCTCTGCATTTGCGCGTCTTTTGCGGTAGCTGTGCTTCCCAGGGTAAGTGCTTCCATGACTTGCTTCATTTAACAGGAATTTGTGTGAACCCAAAATTCCGGGTTGATTCTATCGACATTTTTCTGAGAGCCATGACGTTTTTTCCTCTGATAAATTAATCAAGTTTATCTTTCTTTTACACGCTTTTTTATTCTGTTAATATTAAGAAAGTTACTTGCATGCTCAGCATCTGAGCAAAAAAAAAAAAAAAAAAAAAAGCTTATGAAAAAGAAAAATAAAAAAAAAAAAAAAAAAAAAAAAAAAAAAAAAAAAAAACAGCTTATGAAGCTGTATTAGGAGTCTCTCGCAAACATTGTAGTCTGGGTTTCGTAATTTTTTTACGGGAATGGAGTTAATATGAAAGGAAAAATTAAAATATCAATGCAATTAGAAAAGGCTCACGTTATCGAATTTATATTCTACGTGTTCTCAATTGATCCTCAATTGAAATGTTTCGATTGCAAAAATTGAAAATTCCGACTCCACCGCAATCCTCAATAACTGTTCATTGGTTCGTGCCTTTATTCAATACATTTTCAGGCTTCATTTATTAGATTATACATTATATCTGCAGCACTTTTCATAGGCAATTTTTGAAAGCCGGAAGGAAGAAATTCTTTCAAATGCTGTTCGATTTTTTTTTTTTCAATTTGTTTGTACATCTTCGTACATATCCACAATTTTTTTTGGATAAAAAAGCAACATAATATAAATCGAATTAGAAATGATGACTGGAATTCAGCCGCATCTTCTCATTATTCTTCTCATTTTCCATCAGATCTGTTCGATGATGTTTAATTTTTTTTAAATAGGTAACTATAAGCAGAATCCATCGGGATAAGTTTTTATTTTGTCTTGGAACATTCGATAATATTTCATTTCCTGTTTTTTTTTCTTGCTTGGGAAGAATCAGAATTAAATTAAGTCGTCTAGTCAAAGAAGAAGTTCTTACGAAAGATTTCATTTCCGGTCTTTCTGGACTCTGGAGAAGTGTTACCAATCTTCACAAATAACCAGCAAACAAAAAAATGTCGTCTTAATATTTTAAGACAATTTTTTCGGATGAATATGTTCACGACGGAATCGAAATTAATTTGACAACCTGTGAAATTCAACCGTGATTCTTCCGTCTGTGTTTTTTAACACTGCGTCTGGTTGATGGTTGCTTATTTATTGAAAATATGCAGAACAGTACTGTGATTCCATACGATATTGTAGTTTTTTGTGTGTCTTCTCTTGGGACGGTCGATAATATTTCATCACCCACTTTTTCGTCTCCGTGGGGGGTAAAACAATAGCTGATAGAATTCCTGGAGAGTGGGGGTAGGTGCTCCCTGCGGGGTCTCCGCCAGCCGCAGAGCATCCTCGTCGGAGGCGTTGACGACGGAAGTTCCGGAACCACTTTTTCCGGATGGAGGAACGCGTCGTCGACACCGACAGTGACATCGACAGACGACGAGTTGTGGGGCGCATTGCCGGCTTCGTCTGTCGAGGCCGGCTTCGTTTCCTTCTCTTCCAACCGCAGCCACGGGGTCGCGGAAATCTGGAATTGTCCTTATTCCGACGTGAGATTTTTTTGAAAAATACGTTGTCAATTTTTTGCTTTTGATTATTTACGCTGTCATGAAATTCGCCGCCCGGTATTACGGGTTTTCGACAGCCTCAAGATGCTCTCGACCCGTTTTTTTTTTTTTTTTCCGTGGGGCGTCCTTTATTCAGTAGATTTTACCCTTCGCCCTGCTTATGAGCATCAAAATAATGTATTCCCGAAAAAGTGGTCATGCAATCATTATTTGACATTTGAAGACATCTTAGGCAAAATATCTGATTCAATCAGGAATTATTCTCTTCCTTGAGCACCTGGCCCCGCATTATTATATGTAGTATATCCGTATTAGGTAGATGTCACCTGAATTGATGACAATACCAGAAATAACAAAGCCAAAGTAATCCAAATCATAATAATCTTACCTACCCTTAAACTGAGGATTATCGTGGCCAAATCTGATACAAACTGCATTCAGCCAAAGGAAATATGATCAAATTTTGGCGACAAGTATGTGAAGTTTCCTTCAAGAAAAAATATTTGGCTCAGGGCAGTCGGTCAGGATTTCAAGTTTTCTTCAAATTGACGAAATAAGTTTTTCTTCAAAAGTAAGACCTAATACTTTAGTTATTGGACTTAGTGCACGTACCAATTTTATCACCCTGAAAATAAGCCTTACCATAAAATAAGCCATGATGAAATTTCCGAGATATATCGTCCTGGGATTTGAAGCGAAAATTGCTGCCACTCAAAAGTCCTCTTTTTTTAACCCTGCTCGCAATTAATTTAATAATTTCACCTATCTACTTTCAAAATGTCATTGTTGAATCCGTCTCGTCAGCAGCTTCAAAAACAATTACTGTACTGTAAAGCCCACTCCACACGTGATCATAGTCTTATTCCTTTTCAAAAAATTTATTTCTCTTTGGAATATACTATTGTACCTACCTTCATGATATAGAATGAAGAAGACAGCCGCAGTTTCTCGAAGAAAAACGGGCTGATGTGAAATCAGTATGAGGTTTCAAGATTTTGAATATCACTATAAGAATGAACATTTGTAGAGGGAGATGATTCAGTTATTTCTTTCTAAATCTCCAGCATCGCAAACGGTCGTACGTGTATTGTATATACCGCTGGAATGATAAGGAAATGAACGTGTGAAAGCGGGACATTTTCTCCCAAAGAAAAACTGCATTATTTAGCCACTTAGCGACAAATGTGTGGCTGGCAAAAAAAAAAAAAAAGAAGGACGAGCTTCTCCTCGTCCCACTCGAGGCGCAATTGTGGATCCAGGAATAATACCCTTCAAGCGGTTCCATATAACACAGGCCTCTTTTGTTCGGTCATGCCTCATCGTGTGGGTTGTTCTTCTCCTCTCTTCTTCAGTACACCATGCTGAGCTTGCTGCTTGTCATGGTCTCCTGCTCCGTCTACCAACTGATGACAACGATCACCAAGATGGCAATTTTGGGCATTCTCACGTTCGGCTACGTTAGCTATATCCTGGTCATCTCCATCACCCACTTTGACGAGGCCGAAGTGCATCTTCCGTGGAACGACGGGTACGAGAGGATATTTATTGAGACGCATTATTCTTCTTCTCCCTTTTGCATCCATCCATGCATCAGAAAAACGATTACTCATTTACTGACTGATGCAAAACGTCAGGAAAAAAAAAAGGAGTTCAAGTTTTTGCCAGAAGCTTTCAGCAGCTTCCCGCTTTTGTTTTGAGCTTCTTTTTTTTTTTTTTCAATGCCATCCTCATTTTCAGGCATCCTTCCCCCTTTTATAGCCAGAACATTTTAGAGCTACCTGTAATATGGTGTTAATCTTAAAACCCAAGAATGAGCTCCAATTTTCTACTTAGAAAATACCACAAGGTCTCAAATTGAAACTAGAGATGTTTCCTAGCTTTTCTGTCATCATGTAAAATATATATTCGACCAGTGGATTTTGAGTTATTCTCATTTTTGCAAACCTAACTTTTTCTTTGGTGATGTGATCTCACTGGTACAAAAGCTTCTGGTGGAAACAGCGACTTCGAAAAGTCTTATTACTTACTCATGAATGAATTTAATTCTGCAACAGTCAGTATACAGTTTACCTGAATAGAATTACATTTTCAGCAATGGTCCGTGGGAATTGGAATTTTGAATTAGCCCCTGAGATATTGCTATAATTTTTGTGGGAGCAGCAAAGACAGCAGCATTTCAGGGTTTTCTTTGTCAATCCAGTTTCTCAGTGTGGTTTTTACACCGTTGTGTAAATTTTCAGTCGAAAATCCGGACCGAAATTCCCCAGAAGTCCTTCCGAAATACTGCAACTTTGCCCTGATTATGAGCTAAGAGGAGGCTTTTCAAATATTAAATTATTATCACACGATTTGGGATTTTAAACTAATTATGTGCAAATAGTGAAGATTGACCTTGTCCTGATTTTATGCTTTCAATATCAAAGAAATTTCATGAGCCACGGAAAATTTGGTCATTTAATATAATAATCCATGCTCTGGTTATGCAGCAACAAGACTGAGTGAACCAATAAGACAAAATAAAATCACCTTGAAGAAACGCTTGTTTCATTGTCTTGTCTTGGCAGAATTTTGCGTCTTCGGAATTTTTGTCTTCACATCCTTGAAATATTTACTACACATTCCACGTCATGAAATCCAGTAAAATATCGTTACAGTGACGAAGCTTTTCGGGCCAAGAAAAAGGCTTCATTATAACAATAAATTCGTTTTTAAGTGATTTTAATGATATTATTGCCTAGGATCTGAAAAACAACTTCGATTTAGCAGATAATTCGGTAATACGACTAAGCGAGATTCGTTGTAATGAAATTGTACTTTACCTCGAATCTAGGGCACATTCGATTTGTTTCAAAGTCGTGTCAACATGAAATGGTGCTCATCGTCTGTAATACTTCTGGATGGCCTGTCAAATAACTACAAGAAACGGAAGGACGTTTGACGTGGAAATTCGAATCATTTCTCTCTAGATCTTTTCAGATGCTTTATGCGAAATGTGCTCTCTGAAAGTAGCACGGAAAGGTTGATTCAATTGTAGAAAGATAGCTTCTGCCCATTTTCTTTGAAGAGGTCCCGGAAGAAGCCATGTTTTATTTCCAAGATATTTCTAAATGTTTGCTAAAATGCGCGGTACGTGGTGCCGACGACGACGCGGGTTCGTTCTCGCGAAAAGAGGAACGCTGCATATACGTACGGGGATACGATGCAAATGGAAAACTTGTTCCCGAGCTTTTGATCACGAATTGATGAAGCACATGAAAGGAAGGTCGAATTGAAAAGTTAAATATAGAAACTCTTCGAACCCGCTCCGTGGGGTGCTGGGGGTTAGGACGACGAAGGAGACGGCCATGTCCCGGGCAAACACTGAACCGGAAATAATTATTTGCAGAGTGCAGACCCCGGCTTTGACGTCGACGTACCCGACGATAGCGATTATATTCGTGTTCCTTCTGGCCGTGTTGATACACGGGGGCCAGACCGAGTCCATTTCCAGGCTCGATTTTCTCTGGAAGCTGCAGGCAACCGGTAAGAAGTTCTTTTCATTCCACGTATATCGCCGGCATATTTGTGGAAGCGTGCGAAGCCCTCTTCAGCAGGAAATTAGTTTTCCGTATGATTCCAAAAAAGCCTTTCCACTTGTATGTATATAGACCATTGATTCCCGGGGCCACAGCGTGTTCCATGTTTTCCTACCACATCAATGTCATGACATTAACTCCCTTCATTATTTTCAATTTAAAGTCCTATACTGACTTAACTTCCAGTCGTTGACTCATGGACCAGTGTTCCCAATGACCCGTGGTCCGCGGACCGGCGCCGGACCACGGAAATTGTCTTCAGTACATTTATCAGAAGTAGCACTGCAGACTGTTATCTTTATCTAAAATTGTGGGATAAACGATGGCAGTTGAAATTATCAAATGAAAAATTAAAGTTGGCGTTTCTCCTGCTGGCCCTTCAAACAAATTGTAACTGCTGAAATAAATTATTCTGATTTTTCATTCAGAGAAACATTTCTTCGAACCCAACTTTCTAATTTTTTTAATTTTAAAAGATTATGATTCTTTTACATTCCGCAAAGGCTGCTTCATTGGTTCTTGACTTAATTTTGGCAAAAAAGCAGAAACTCTTTAAATACCTACCATAAAGTCTTCCAAGCAAAACGTCTTTGAATCTGCAAAAATTTCATGAAACTTTGCCCGTCTGCAGAATATTTTTTTGGAAAGTTGCCAGTCAACAAAAATTGTCATGGAAGTTTGCTGGTTTGTGGGCCCAAAAAGGTTGGGAACACTGCTGTAGAGTGACAATTAAATCTTCGAGCAATGAACATATGCTCGTTTGGTTCACTGTCGATCTTGTGCTTTCCCTTTTTTTAATGGATTTTGCTGGATGGATCGGGATGGAGCGAGATGATTTTTCACAGAAATACTTCTTGGGAATTGTACAAAGTTTTTTTTGCACACGTTGAAAAGAGGACAGAGACAAAAGTACACCTTAGTATACTGCGAAGTAATCAGATTTACATGCCTCATTTGCATTTTCTAATGAATCGCAGACACTTGCAGTGCTATCAGACATGTTAATGAACTGAAGACTATTTTTAGTCACGATTCCTATGATCTAACAATATTTTTTCATAAAGGAAATGCTTCAAGTTGGTCAATGATTCTCTCGGTGACATTAATCTTTTAGACCAGAAACGTGTAAAAAAAAGTCCTATTGAAGTACAGCACCGAAAAAATGTATGCACTATCCCTGGCATGCAAAAACAAAAAAAATTCTGTCCATCAATTGCTTCCGATTTTCGTGAATTTTCAGGGGACAAAAGCCCCAGGGTTTGAAAATCAGTAATATACGGCGCAAAAATTTGAGTTGCTTCTGTTGAAGTTGCAACGCTGAGAAATAAATAAAAAATGATCAAAACTGTGGTTGAATACGTTGAAATTTACGATTCACCTGATGCTTCTTAAAAAATGAATCTATCAAAGTTTGACAAGAAATCTCCACAAGATATACATCAGATGCAAACTTTATCTCATAATTCTTGATGTCTTATTTATTTCTAGAATTGGTAAAAATTAATGCAAGAGTATCCAAAATCAAGGAGAAAATTTTCTCATCATATTCTTTTAGAACGTGGAAAATTTTCACTGTAGTCGAAATAGAATTGACAGTCTGCGTGAGTCAAATGCAATTCTTGAAAGGCCTTCGAAGACAGCTGGACACTAGGGGTCCGACTAATAATATCTTGCCTTCCCTTTTTTCGGACGAGCTGTGGAACATATGCCCCCTTTGCATTATCACCTGATTATAATGGACGTTCATTTTGTCCACATTTCAGAGGAAAATGAGGAAATGGAGAAACTAAGGGCCTACAACAGAAAGCTTCTTGCGAACATTTTGCCTGAGCACGTGACGGAGCATTTCATGACCGAACGCCGCCCAGACGTAAGTGCAACAGAGCCGCGGGTATATTTTCAGCATGAAAAAGAGCAGATGTAGTGGGCATTAAATCCTATCAAGTCTCCTCTTTTGGCGCTTTTTACGAGCCAACTGCCCGTGTTCATTTTACCTTAATTATATCTAGCAGTGAGCGGTATTTATTTAATGAAGATCAGCAGCGAGCGAGTAATGAAATTTCATGCAAGCGGCGAATTTACGGTTTAAACCTACCTCTGTAGGGTTATTTACGCAGTCCACAATGCGAGTAATTATAATTATTCGTAATGTGTTTTCACTTGGATGAAATTTTACCATGCAGCCCGATGATATCGTAAATAATCTGTACATTAATTCGTATACAGAGAACTTGTTATACAGCCCAAACAAGAAGATTCAGCATAGGTTTTTAATGAAAATATACCTTTCTTAATTAAACGTCCGACTCATTGAAATGTTGGGAGATAATTTAAACCAGAACTTCATCAATTTACTTTCTGGCTTTCACTCGAGTTCAAAAAACTATCCCATATGACTTGCGTCTCTTTTTTTCTAACAAGTAACAAAATAAACATTGTCGGATTTTGGACTCAGCGACTGTGAGACATGCTCTCTTTCTTGGAGTCACATATTTTAATAAATACAGGAGGTTAAACTTAGTTTATTCATCGGGTAAAGCTGTTAATAACTTCAGGTTGTGTATGTGAAATATTCTCGGTCAGGGTGTCGATTCAGGTGACACCTGTGTATCATTACAGGAAGCAAGTCTGTCGTTGAAGTAAAACACGAATGGATTTTGAACTACGCAATCGTAAATTTTTTTTTTTTTCAAGGTAACGATGTTGAAACCATCGCATATAACTCGCGTATCGTTTTTGTTTCTAATAAAACAAAAAGGAAATTTTGTTGGATATACGAATCAGAGAATGCAAGACATACCATCATTTTAAAAATCAAAATTTCAGTAAGATTAGTCTCATGTTTCAATGAATACATGAGGGAGCACAGTGAGTTTATTTGTGTCGGGCAAAATTACAGTTGTGTACGTGAAATATTTTTGGTAAGGGTGTGTAAATTCAGGTGGCACCCGTTTGACAATCCAGGAAGCAAAACTTGGGCGTTGTAGTGAAAATCAAACGGATGTTTAAATACGAAAATCGTGAAGTTTGACCATGCAATTGAACTGATTTTATTGATCAACGGAATTACGAATTCCAAAATCACTTTGAAAATCCGTTTTTCGCAGGACTTGTACCACGAACAATGCGAATGCGTTTGCATCGTGTTCGCTTCGATCCCGAACTTTTCGGAGTTCTACGTCGAACTAGAAGCTAACAATGAGGGCGTCGAATGTTTGCGACTTTTGAATGAAATCATCGCCGACTTTGACGACATCCTCAGCGAAGACCAGTTTAGGTGCATCGAGAAGATTAAAACCATCGGGTCCACTTACATGGCCGCCTCAGGTTTCTAAAAACATCAATTAATATTTTATTTATTTATAAAAACATCAATAAACCTTTTTCTTCGTGTTTGAAGAATAACATCAATGGTCTTTTTCGTTTCATATCTTCTCCTTGAATTCATATAAAGCGTACTTTCAAAAAATAAAGATAATATTTAAAGAAGAATGTATCATTTGAAAGAAAAAGTGAATGATCATCTTGGGTACATCTGGCAACCGTATGTTGAACAGAGATTTTTCATTACGATCCTATTTCATGTTTCAACTTTTTTTTTAGCCATTCGAAGATGCAATTTATTATTGAATTTGGATCTCATATTTACATTCTTCATCAAGTGTGAAGGGATTTATTTTGTCTGGAAATTTATAAGACAAGTGAATGAGTCAAATTTAACGGATGTTTCGGGTAAATCTGACACCCGTATGACATGCTTGATCAGCGATTTACATCGGAATCCAATTTTATGTTTGAACTTATTTTTCTGTCTTTTGCGACGATGACATTCCTTTTAGATACCATATTCCATTCTGTATCACATGTTGAACGCTTTTTTTTTGGTCTGAAAATTCACAGGCCTGACTAAATCTACCTGTGATATGCAAGATTTCTCTCATGTGACGGCTGCAGCGGATTACGCGCTGCGATTAAAAGATCAATTGGAATACGTCAATCAACATTCCTTCAACAATTTCAAAATTCGAGTTGGTGAGTTCATCTTTTCTCAATTCCTCGTTTCAATCGATGAAATTTTAATTCGTTTTATATCTTGCATTTCGCGTGAAGGTATTAGTATGGGACCTGTTGTTGCTGGGGTAATTGGTGCTCGGAAGCCTCAGTACGACATTTGGGGGAATGCTGTCAATGTCGCCAGTCGAATGGAATCTACTGGTGTTCCTGATCGAATCCAGGTAATCAATTAGTTTAAAGTTAAGCCCCCATTTCAAAGCAATTTGTTGATGTACATGATTGGTTCAATGGACCAGAGTAATGGATATTTTTGGAACCGAATGTACGAGCAAATAAATGAACCCAACAACTACATTAGCAGGATGATTGTATACAGAGTAAAGTACTGTTTCTCAGTATTTTTTCATTGTTCCCTTTTTTCTTTTGGTTTCAGTTGATACTGATCACCGGATTTGGAAAAATATCAACCTTCGTATGAACATTAATTTTAGCATGTCCATCGAAAGTTGTGACCAAAGTTCAAGTCAACTAGTCCAGCAAATTAAAAAAATAATATGAAGATATATACAGTATAAAGATCCGCTCACCACGAAGTCTTTCCAAATAAATCGAAGCTGCACCTTTTTTCAACCAAAAAAACAAGCGGAATATTCCAACATGACTCACTCATGTAAAATTTGCCCGTTTCCGGATCTAATCAACAAATACCATTGAATTTACCTCATTTCTAAATAAAGCTGATCAATAAGATAAGATTCCCTGTCTTTTCTGGCCTGTCTTATTAAATTCGGATCTGTTCAGAAACATTTCAGCGTAAAATGTAGAAATGGATCCATATCACTTTTGACAAAATAGATCGACAAGTAAATTAGCACAGGAAGTGTAATTCAGTCGTTTAATTTGATAGATTGAACAATTAGTTTAATATAATTTAATTGCTTAGACTTGATAAGCTCTTTTCACGATCGAATTTTTTGCAGAATCCCCTTTTGAAATGTCACCTGAATTATGCCTTTATTTTGCAAGGGCTCCCAGAAATGAAACCCGGCACATTTCAGCTCAAACAAATGACATTGATCTTGGCTGATCTTTTCAGTTGATTTAGCACGTGGAATTGACGAAAAAATTGCGACTTTTTTCTTTCTTTTTCCCGTGTAGACCACTCAAGAGGTGTTCCAGATCCTAGCAAAGAGAGGCTACCCGATGTCCTGTCGGGGATCCATTCAAGTCAAGGGCAAAGGCGAGATGATCACCTACTTCCTCAACGGGAAACGGGCGGAACTGAGTCGGAAAACGTCGCAGCAGTCCAACATGAACTCTGGACACAAACACGGCACCGGCACGTTGTCACCTGTCGAGTCCGTCGTGTCCACTGCGTCCATCGTTGCTGGAAGCATGCCGAACGTCGACGCCGCGCAGCGCGAAGCCCTGGCCAGAAACAATTCCGCGTCGAGTGGCGTCGGCGCCGCGGCCGCCGCCGCCGCCGCCGCGAGACCACCTCGAGTCGTCCCGACTGCTGCTGCGGGCGACACAACCGGGGCGACGGAGTCGGATCCTCTCATCATGCCCAAGTCGTCCTCCAGGGACAGAGTAGTCATTTTTGAAACCTGAGCTCCCTGAATGCCCCCTGTTTTTTTTTTTTTTTTTTTTTTTTTGGGCGGCGAAATGGTCTCACAATTTTTGTCATTTGCATGCATTATTATTGTTCCGACGAGGACTCGCTGTTTCAAGGCCAGATTTTTACTCTTGTTACGGAACAACAACCACAAAAAACGACACAAAATTTAAGCGCGAAACGGAACATTCGAATTGCTTTTCATTTTTGAAGAGAAAGGAACATTTGTATACTTGTCAGCCAGAGACAGAACTCCTGTCGGAGGCTCCCCAAGACGCAATTTATGGCCATTTTCAAAACATAATTGGTCAAACTCTGTTGGAATTTTTTTCGCTATCAAGGCTTAGTTTTGAGAATGATCGCTGGAAAATGGCGATTCATTTTTAATCTTTAACTAGACCCTTTAATCTTTGATCCTCGAAAAAAAAAACGACATTCCATTTGAGTTCGGGTATCGATATTTAAACGCCGTAAGTATTTTCTGTTGAAAGAAGCGTTCGATATAAATTTATTCGAAACAGTATGGCCATGACGATTTCATAACAGGAATGCTGGAACAAAAATGTGATGACAATCGTAGTCGAATAATGTTCAACTCTTCATCAACTCCCCTGATTTTCGCCGACCTAAAAACTTGATAACGGCTGATTTTATTAACCGCAGCCTGACCTGAGGCGATTCGTTTAAATCTCATTTGACATAATTTGAGCGAAAGGCTACGAAAATTAATTTAGAAATTCCTTTAGTACCTTTTCGAGTGCATTCTGTCAGTTGTTGGTGATAGTTCCCACACTTAGTAGCGAAAATATGAAACATTTCGAACTGTACCCAAAAAAGTACTCGATATGAAAGAATTTTGTTCTAACCGAAATTCGCCTGTTCGTGGGTCTTAGTTATTGAGGCATTGAAGTTATGGGGAGGATTTTGATAGTTTTGGAAATTTCGTCGGAGGAAGATTTTTTCAAAATGCCACAGAAACCGTTGCTTGAAAAATAACGCATACAGTTTTCATTGAGTCAATTCCAGCTTCTCTCGCGGCGTGAAATAATCTTTTAAGAAGCTTTTTTCTTCAAGTATTGCAGGTTTGAAATACAAGCAGAATGAATTTTCTAGGTCACCCTTTTGTCATTCAAGTTTATAAATGGTAAAACGTCAAAACGCGATTTTCGAAGCAGATGCATCAAATAACATTAAGAAAATAACGGTTTAGAAAAATCGATGTCTGACAAAAACCGATGACAAATTTCCAATTACAGTACTGTACATTGAAAGCACCTGATGATTTGAAATTTTTCTTTTGAAAAATACCTTCCCTTCCATTCTCGGAATTATTTTCAAACAGCATGCATTTTATCCGTTGAGTTAATTGATGTACAAAAGTGGGAACAAATACCTCGTACGTATGCTCCTTAAATTCACCCCAGAAAAATCATCGCTATTCCGAAATCCCTCGAGGGAAAATATGCATTAATTTTATTTTTTAAAAAGGACCCTCTTGAGACGAAGATCGTTACTGAAAGCATGACAATGTCAGCTTCGAATTCTATTGAGGAATTTATTATATGATGTTTATTCTGTTGAAGTCGAGCTTTCCGCGGAATCGGAGCGCGCAAATTTTTGTTACCCGATCAACCAGTGTGTCTGTGACTCGGTGTAAGTGTGTGCTTTTTTTTTTACTGATGCGATAGCTGATGTAAATCCGCGCAAAATAGCATTTGGTGCTTTTTTTTCCAAAGGTGAAGGTGAATCGGATCAAATTAGTCTTTTGTCGGTGTTTGTACAAGGTCGATAAACAGCGCAAAATAGCGTCCAGTGCTTTCCAATGGAGTGGCAAAATATGCAGGTTTTTATGGGTTAAATTTGTTGGGAATTTAAACCAATTCATTCCACTTAATGCTTACGAACAATTTGACCGAAAAAGGAGATTACCAATAACCCGAACGAAATTTTTGTATGACCGTATTTGAAATCGAGGGGCAAATTTTGTCGATTCTTGTTCATGTCCAGCAAACCACGTTTCCTGATATACAATGAAGTAAAGTATACAGAAAGAAGTGTAACTACCGAATTTTTTAAATAGTCTTTGAAGAAACGATACCATTTTCCAATTTACACAGAAACAGCTAGAGTATTCGCAACATTCAACTAATTTTTGATGACGACCAAAACGCTTGCTAATTCTTGAACAGATTCTTGTGGGTTTTTGGAAGTCTAGAAAATGCGTCAGCAAAAATTTGGATTGATGTTTGCTTTGATTTGTAGCTTTGGAAACAAATAGTCAGGGTGTTGAGGTGCGAAAATGCATCATCACTGTGTACAAGAATTCCATCACCCGAAGTTTAATTCAAGGTTAGGTGCTGTGTAATTTAGAATCCTGTGCGAAATAATTCAAGAAATTCAGGAAATTTTTAAATCTTATCGCGAATTATTTTTTCTTATTTTCAATAGAAGAATGTTTGGTCAGTTCCGTTTTTTTTTTTTGCATTTCCATCTGGTTAAGGAAATTACTTTTCCATGTGTTCCACGGAATAATTTCGATTATTCTGTAATTTGTGGGGATGCGTTTTCCAGGGGATTATTTTCGTCTGATGGATCTTGGTTTTCTTCGGAAACCGCTGTCATTCTCAAGATGGAATGGAAAATCGGCTGTTTGAACGTTGACCGGCGAGAAAAGCGCTGCAGAAAGCGTTGGGAATGGAAAAGAATCGATGTTCACTTCTCATACGTCTGATGGCTTCTTCATTTAAATTAATTTTCGTTTATTGCATGTTCTTTCACAGACCCTTTCTATGTTTCAAAAACAATACTGTACTGTATAATCTAGCTGAACATGACTGTTACTCGAACTCAATCAAAATTTACAGACATAGCTTAAGGAGAATCCCGAGCCTGTTCGGTTGATTCGCCGGATGCCACTTTTCGGACTTCACTTTTCATGACAGCGACATCTATTTGTGAGTTTATATCTACGGTTTGGATGGATGTGGATAGGTGACGTAAAATTCATCCAACTTCAGAATGCACTGCACTGTGAAGCGATAATCTTTTCATGGAGCTGATTCGATAATCAATCATACCGAGGCAAAAAAGAAGGTTGTTGAGGAACGAGAAGAAGCATCACATGAGACCTGCGAAGGTGTAAATTATTCAGGCAATTCTAAATTCATTACGTATCTATCTGGCGCTCAACATGAAATCCGACGTCCTTTTCTTAGCGGTATCATTGATTCCTTTCATGGGTTTTTCTAGTCAGTCAAACTATTAATTCGGGTAACAAACTATTATTTTTGAGCGTAAATCTCTTCGCTGCAGGTGCACTGGAATGCTACGAATGCGACCAAGAAAGCTGTAGTCCATACGGAATCAAACGCACGTGCGACACTCCGCACTGTGTTGAAGCTTACAAGGATGACACGAAAGGTTCGTTTCCTTCCACGAAAGAAAAACACAAACTTTACAATCCCACTACAGTACTTTTTTTGTGCAAATTTCAATGGATGTGCAGGTCCCAGTTTTGATCCATATAGTATTTTCGAACCAAAGCAATTATACATATTACAGTACAGAGACAATTTCTTCTATGTGCAGAAATAATGTAAAAAAAAGGTGTGCATTTGCTTGGCAATTCTTTCACAGGCACGTTTTATACAGAGGCCCCCCGCCTAACAGACCTCCTGTGTAAGGGATTCTCGCCAAACAGACCAGCTCTGCAAGCAGTTTTTCCTCCCACCCAACAGACAAAATCCTCCAAACAGACTTCTTTTGGTTTAAAATTAGTGTTGAAAATTGAAATTTTTAATTTTTAATGTAATTGAATTCATGTGAAGGACTTTTTGTCTAACAGACTTGTCCCTTGCACAAATAAAGTCCATTAGACAGGGGTTGACTGTACTATGACTTGAAACATGTTGCCTTGAAACATATGTCACAGCAGCTGGTAGAACACATGAGTTTTTAACAATTTTTTGGATACAGAATTCTCTCCGTTTTCCAAGATTAGTTAAACAAAAATCTGAACTATTCTCCCGGAAATGTAGGACGTATTTCTCAGTCAATGGGGTCTACTACGGTATTTATACAGTAAACCAGAAAATTCAAAAGCAGGTCTTCTCAAACTTAATCATTCGCGGATCTCATTAATGCTCAAATTTCAATGACAAGCTCGTTATTGATCATTTTCGGGGTCCCATTTTTGCTTCATGTCTAGAAAGTTTGAAAAATGAATCTATTTGGGGACCTGAATAATATTGTTGAAAAAGTAGTTGTAACGAGATTTTTTCGTAATGGAATTCCATTATTCGACGATGTGCAGAAGTGCTGGTGAGCCGTGGTTGTGGCACGGGGCCTGGAATCGGATGCCAAACCGAGGGAGAGACCTATTTCTGCTACTGCGGTCGGGACTTGTGCAACCGACGTTTGGCAAAGGTTTTCACATCTGCTGCACCAGATCAGAATCAACGTGGTTCAATATGGCTACTGTTGGTCTGCATCACAATGACCTGGACTCTCATTTTGCTCTCTCGTGGTCCAGTGACTGTTGTTTTGCGCCGATGAGCCAATGCAGTCGTCTGATGGACCCAAGATTCCGGAAGTCACAAAACACAGGCGTTATTCATCAGTAACTAAACCTTTTTCATCGTATTGTGAATGATTTCGATGGATATTTTGACAAGAAAGACATGTTCAAAAGGGGGTTGAGTCCATGGAGATGATTTCAAGATCGACCAGCAGTTCTGTTCACCAAAAAAATGCACATCTGTTCGCATCACCTATTGTAATAGATTAAAGTTTACCACGCAGGTACATTTCCACGGACGAATAAAAAATGTATTCATAGCAGAGAGCTGTGTTCGTGATTGATGTTAGAAAGTGGAAAATTGGAGTTTTTTTAATCTGCAAGAGCACCAGACAAATGAACGACAAGAAATATTACAGCGTTCTCCTGCACTTATAATGGATGCGGGAATCCAGGTAAACTTTTATTAGATCGATCAGTTTTCCAGCTCCGAAGTAGAGGAAAAACATTTATTATACGGTACATAATTTTTATTTATTATCACAGAACAACGATGAATGGGATTCGTGCAGATAGTGAGCCAACATTTGAAGAACACCCTGGTTAACAATGTTAACAAGCTTATTGATCATCAACCTTTTACTCTCCAGCAAAAATCTTTTGTTAAACAACAAAAAATTATCTTTGTGGGCATTCTCTTCCTAAATTTGCAGCCCTCTGAGCCGAACGGAAATCGAGGATGCCCCACTACCTTTTCCACAATACTGCATTCATTTGATGTGTGTATCAAGTATTAAGCTATTAACACACACAGATTACTAATAATGTCCGAAACTCTGATAAAACCTGACGTTTTATTCCTTTCAAGATTAGCCCCGCGCGTTGTTGTTTGAACGTGCTGGTTCTCTGTTAACGAATTCATCATTCAGACAATATGCGTATCTTGCTTTTTAGGTGTTTTACTCAGTGCTCTGATTAACACATATGAGTTTTCTTTTTTTGTAGTAGTCGGGGAATCATTTGTCTCTGTGAATGAAATGTGACGTATTTTTCCTTTCTGTGAACCTAACAAACGTCCGTCCTCGAGTGGCGTTTTCATTCGGACCAGTAATTATTCCAAACAAATTACCATGCTCTAGTCTAGTCTTGTTTATTTAGTCTCTTATTTCAAGTAAAAACCCCGCCTATAAAAATCCCCTTTGTCGTTGTAATTAAGCAGGATAAGCTTTCGGTGAGCAATGACTGGATGACAGGGGGATCTTATCCCTACAGTTAAAAGTGTAATTCAAGAAACGGCTCGCATTCCGTCGATTTCTGTACAAGCCAACAAGAATGTTGAGGAAGTTTTCTGAATCAGTTGCTAGAAGTTCATTGAAATCCAGATAAGGAGCGCATTGGGACATGATGAAACACAAAACTTTTGCGGAATTCCATCCTACCTTGTTTTCCCTCAGAACTCAACTTTTCTTAGCTACCAAGCAGTCCCTCTTCAGCTCCAAACCTCTTCAGCTCCAACCCTCTTCAGCTCCAACCCTCTTCAGCTCCAAACCTCTTCAGCTCCAAACCTCTTCAGCTCCAAACCTCTTCAGCTCCAAACCTCTTCAGCTCCAAACCTCTTCAGCTCCAACCCTCTTCAGCTCCAACCCTCTTCAGCTCCAACCCTCTTCAGCTCCAACCCTCTTCAGCTCCAACCCTCTTCAGCTCCAACCCTCTTCAGCTCCAACCCTCTTCAGCTCCAACCCTCTTCAGCTCCAACCCTCTTCAGCTCCA